CTCTGGAGGTCACGACGGAATACCGGGCACTCGTGAACCGATGGCGCCCAGGCGCGCCGCTGCCCCGCGACGGCCTGGAGGGGTCGCCAGCGGATCCTGGGAACGTCCCCCACGGTTCCTCCTGCCCCTCCCCCTCCCCCTGTTCCACCCCCTCCCCCTCCCGAGGGAGGGGGAGCGGGCGCTGCTGCCGGCGCGGCCAATGCAAGGTACGCGTGCCCAGTCCCAGGTTGTGGACAGAGCTTCCGTGCTGGTAATCAGCTTCGCTTCCATTATGATGAACACCATTCCATCAGAGACCCGGGTCTGGCCACAAATGGGTCACGCTATATTGCCCCGACTGAAATCAACACCAGGGTACCCGGCTCCAGTACCACAGGCCCCGATGTCCAGCCCGTCTAGAATTCCAGCGTGCCCTTCAGACCACGGAAGGGAGGTGGATGGACATTCTGCGCGGCCCCCGCAGAGCGCCGCCGGCGGGGTGGTGGATTGCGACGGACGGCTCCGGAGCCGAGGGGGCGCGGTCATCTTTAGGTATGATGGCCCGAATACGATGAGCAGGGTGCCGGATGTGGTGCTTCACGCACCGGTCATCACCGAGGCGTGGGACCATAGGCGGATCGGAGCCTGCACACGTACCGACAACACGGCCGAGCTTTCAGCGATAGGAGAGATAATGCGCTGGCTCTCGGCAGAAGCGCCAGATGGTGGGGATACGCCATCAGGTACGACTCGCAGCACGCTGCGAACATCGCAAGGGGCATCTGGGAGGCACAGTTCAATGGTGAGCTCGCGACAGCAATGCAAGACCTCACCACGCAAGTGTCTGCAAGAAGGCACATCACGTGGGAGCACGTGTATGGACACAGGGGGGCCCATGATAATGAGCTCGCCGACAGGGCTGCGGATCTTGGGCGGGAAGGCATGGTGTCGAACATGTCACAGCGACTTACGCCGCTTCCGCCGCCTGTCCGCGACCTCGCGTGGAATGATGCCGAAAATGTGGGACTCGTGTGCTCATGAAAGACTTGCAGGGACACGTGCGTCGGTGTACGGCTCCTGGGCCGATCATCCCACATGATTTTGACAAGTGTCGTGAGTGCGGCGTCCTCATCAAAAGGTACGGTAGCAGCAGCAGCAGCAGCAGCAGCAGCAGCAGCCGCGCTGGCCATGAGCGCCGGTGTCGGGGGAGCGAACTCGCCAACCGTAAATGTCGGAAGTGTGGTCACGTTTTCCGCCGCCGCCGACGGGCATATGGAGCAAACAGTGTTCCACACGTGAAGCGCGTTGTACAGGCGTTCCCCCAGCGGGGGCGGCGGCGCAGCCGGCGGGAGGCGCGCCGGCACAACGGTTGGACTGCCCCCGGCGGCGGCCCACGCCCAAGCCAAAGCGAAAGCGAAAGCCCGTGGGCGATGAGCCGGGGCCAAGGCCCAGGATGAGGCCCGAGCGAAAGGTAAGGCGAATGCCAAAGCCCACGCCCTTCATCGGGGCGGCCGTGGCAAGGCCCAGGCAGAGTCAAGGGCAGCCAGGGGCCGTGGCCGTGGCCGGGGGCGGCAAAGGGGGCTCTCGATCGGTTCCAGCCAGTCTTGGCCGCCTCCCACCATGGTGCAACGCTGGTAATATGGCCGCGCTGCCGGGCCGAGGGCCCAGGTTCCAATGACGATGGCCTATCCGCAGGACCATCCTGGGAGGGGGCAACCTGTCTTGTTGTGCCCGGCACCGTATCCCTACGGTTGCCTGCCCCTCCTGGCCCCCGCGCGGCGGGGGAAGCCAGCGGTGTGCTACGGGAGAAGTGGTCGGGGCGTGGTCGTGCCGGTTGAGTGAACACGAACACGAAATCGATTTCCCTTAGTCGGACGGATTCTCCTCCTCCTCCCGGGATCGGCGGCGGACGGGCGGGCAGCTCGGTACGGACGGCCGCATTCTCTTGTCAACGGCACACACACACACACACACACACACACACACACACACGCTGGGCCACCTCCCTTCTTCCATCCCTCCTCCCCCTCCCCTTCCCCTCCCTCGTTGTCTCCCCTCCTCCCCCTCCCCCTTCCCTCCCTCGTCCCTCCCCTCTTTCCTCCCCCCCCGTCCCCTCCCTCTCCCTCCCCGCCCCCGCCCGGGTGCTGTGCTGTGCTGTCGTGCATGCAACGGCGATGCGAGAGTGCGAAGGTGAATCAGCGAGAATTGGGCGGCATGCCGCGGACAGGGAATCCATCGATGTCGCGCGCCGCTCGTGGCTTAAGCAGCTCACGGCCGCGCCGCGCTCGCCCCCTGCCCGCGGCCGCCCCGCAAACACTGGTAACCACCCGCCCTCGCAGGCCCGGCAGGGATGGCCGGCGCCCGCCGTGCCCAAGTCGCCCAGGCCATCGCGGCCCTCTCGAGCAGAGTGGACACGCTGGAAACGACCCAGGCGGCTGTGGTGCGTTGTGTGGACGCGGCCCTCAAGTCGACGAGCGCGGTGTGCGAAGGTTTCAAGGAATGTGGGGTCGTGTGGGCAGACAAGTCGCCCAACGCAGCGTGGAGGGAGCTGAAGGCCGCCTGGGTGCAGCGGTGGGCCGGGACCTGCGTCGCCAGATGGGCGTCGCGGACCCGATGGCCGTCGACGCCGGCGGGGCGGCAGCGGCCGCGGCGCCTGCCGTCCCTGACCCTGCCCTGGACTCGCCCGTGTCAGCAGCGGTGCAGCAGGTGGAGGAGGCCCTGACGATGCTGGGCGTGATCGCGGGCATCTATGCCCAGGAGCGCTGGTCGGACGCGGCCGGCGCGTACGAGCGGGTCCCGAATACGTACAGGGTGGCCATAGAGCCTTGCCTCGAGGCCCTGCGGGTCCAGTCGGCACTTCGCGTGCTGGACCACCCGCTCCGGCGGGCAGCCCACCTGGCGGTCGCCGGCGTGGCCCCCGCGGCACTGCCGGCCGGGCAGGATCCGCCGGACAGAGTGCTCATGTACAATGAGCGTACGCGGGCCGAGCGCGCCAAGGGCAAGAACAAGGGTCACGGGCCAGGCCAAGGGCAAAGGCAAGGGTAAGAGCAATTAAGGGCGAGGGCAAGAAGGGTGGCGCCCGCATGCGCCGCCCGGCGGCGGCTGGCGCAGCAGCGCCAGGGGACGGAGCCGCCGCCCCCCCCGCTGCGGGAGGCGCAGCAAACGGCGCAGCCAGAGCCGCCCCTTTAGGGGGGGCGCTGGCGCTCAAGCTGGGAACGAGAGGCGGGTGGTACCGGTGACACCAATGGCACCGGGGGCAGCTCTCCACGGAGGGCAATGTATTAATGCTCATTGTTCTGGGGAGTCTACTAACTACACGTCGCACATGCGAGGGGGCCAGCCGCGTCGTTCATTTTTCCTCCCCCCGGGGTGGCGCCAAATGGGTCGGTATGCTGAAATGCACTAAGTGGACGCTCTGCGCCACCGCTGGTGCGGCCACCTCCGTGGCGCCCCTCCCGTCGGTTGTGTGCGCGAGTATGTGTGTGTGTGTGGGTGTGTGTGTGTGTGTGTGGGTGTGTGTGTGCGTGTGTGTGTGTGTGTGTGCGTGTGTGTGCGTGTGTGTGTGTGTGTGTGCGTGTGTGTGTGTGTGCGTGTGTGTGCGTGTGTGTGCGTGTGTGTGTGCGTGTGTGTGTGTGTGTGTGCGTGTGTGTGCGTGTGTGTGCGTGTGTGTGCGTGTGTGTGCGTGTGTGTGCGTGTGTGCGTGTGTGTGTGCATGTGTGTGCGTGTATGTGCGTGTGCGTGTGTGTGCGTGTGTGTGCGTGTGCGCGTGTGTGCGTGTGTGTGCGTGTGTGCGTGTGCGTGTGCGCGTGTGCGCGTGTGTGCGCGTGTGCGCGTGTGCGCGTGTGCGTGTGCGTGCGTGTGCGTGTGCGTGTGCGTGTGCGTGTGCGTGTGCGTGTGCGTGCGTGTGCGTGTGCGTGTGCGTGTGCGTGCGCGTGCGCGTGCGCGTGGCGTGCGCGCGTTGCGCGTGCGCGTGCGCGTGCGCGTGCGCGTGCGCGTGCGCGTGCGCGTGCCGTGCGCGTGCGCGTGCGCGTGCGCGTGCGCGTGCGCGTGCGCGTGCGCGTGCGCGCGTGTGTGTGTGTGTGTATGTGTGTGTGTGTGTGTGTATGTGTGCGTGTTCTGGTTTCTCACGTGTTCTGTGCGCGGATCCAAACACCGGCAGCAGGTCGTTTTGGATCGTTTTCGTGCGCTTCATGTGCGGGTCCAAACACCTGCAGGCCGGGAGCGACGGGGGTCGCGAGCGACGTGTGTCGGCCCCCAGGGAATCGGTCCTCGGTCGGTCCCTCACTCCCCTCCCTCGCCCTTCCTCTCGCTCCCCCTCGTCTCCAAGGCTTGATTCACCGAAGGTTTCTGCATGTACGGCTACATACCGGCCCGCCGGCCGATCTCGGCCGACAAGGCGGAGGACGAGGACAAGGACGAGGTTCAAAAGCATCAGAAGATGTCATCTACATGTCCAACAGTTCTTTGACTTCATCTCGAGATCAGCTACGGAGGTTTCATGGTTGCCAGTAGCTTCATCATCATCGGAAGCTCTAGTCTGGAGGATCAGGTCACCTGAGATCGGTCTGCTACTCGACCTATGGACGCCGCCATGTTAACGCACCCGCTGGAGTCCTCGGATAACGAGGGCCCAGCGCAAGAGGGCTGGGGAGGAAGAGGAGGAGGAGGAGGGGGAGGAGGAGAAGAGGAGCGGGAGGAGTAAGGACGCGGGGCGCTGTCTCTTCAAAACGAGGGCCCAACTCACAGGAGGGCTGGGAAATGAACAAAGAAATAACTAAGGGAGAGGGGCACGGGACATGGAGGAGCGCGGGAGAGGGAGAGAGAGGGAGAGAGAGAGAGAGAAAGACAGAGAGAGAGTGGAGGGACGGGGGGCAAGGAGGGAGGGGGAAGGCGGGAGGGAGGGGAGGGGAGAAGAGGGGGGGGGGGGAGGAGGGAGAGGGGAGATTGAAGGGATGGAACGGGGGAGGGGCCGGACGGAGCAGGGGGGGACGGGGGGGGGGGGCAGGGGAGCGCGGCTCGGCCTGCGCCTCTCTCCAGGCGCCTCCGTCGCGCCGCGCTGCCGCAGGGCGCTCCAGGTCGTCGTCTGGGACCTGGGAGCCGGGGAGGGGAGGATCCCCAACTCGAGACGCAGAGGGTCAGGGACACATTTATGTGTATGTATACATCTATATGTGTATGCTTACAAACATATACATATATAGATATAGAGAGGCAGAAATAAATAAAGAGAGAGAGAGAGAGAGAAAAAAAAACATATAACAAAACAATTGGTAATATATATATATGTGTATATATATATATATGTGTGTATACTTACATCTACTCGCTAGCCTGGCGAAGAACCCAACCCTTCCTCATCAAAGGACGTAGATCAACGGGACGGCTCAATGCACAAGAACGCGAAGCTTTTTGGGGGGCACGGAACGTGTGAGGAGTGTGCCGAAAGCAGCGCGGGGACGCCGTGCGATCGCACCCACCGAGGGCCTCGGTGGACCTCCCTGTGGGGGCAGGAAACGCGTGGGGAGTGTGCCGAAATGGGCGCGGGGATGCCATGCGAACGCACCCACTGGGGCCATAGGCGGAGCTCCCTGGGAGACAGGAAACGTGTGAGGGGTGTGCCGAACTGGAAGCGGCGATGCCATGCGAACGCACCCACTGGGGTCCTCGGTGGAGCTCCCTGGGAGGCAGGAAACGTGTGAGGGGTGTGCCGAACTGGGCGCGGCGCCAGGAAACGTGTGAGGGGTGTGCCGAACTGGGCGCGGCGCCGCCATGCGGACGCACCCACCGGGGCCCTCGGTGGAGCTCCCGCAGGAAACGTGTGAGGGTGAGCCGAACTGGGCGCGGCGCCCGGGGCCCTCGGTGGAGCCCCTGGAGCGGAGGCAGGATACGTGTGAGGTGTGCCGAACTGGGCGGGGCGCCAGAACGTGTGAGGGTGTGCCGAACTGGGCGCGGCGCCGCCAGTGCGGACGCACCCACCGGGCCCTCGGTGGAAGCTCCCCATGTGGGGCAGGAACACGTGTGAGGGTGTGGCCGAACAGGGCGCGGCGCCAGGAAACGTGTGAGGGGTGTGCCGAACTGGGCGCGGCGCCGCCATGCGGACGCACCCTCCGGGGCCCTCGGTGGAGCTCCCCCTGTGGGGCAGGAAACGCGTGAGGGGTGTGCCGAACTGGGCGCGGCGCCAGGAAACGTGTGAGGGGTGTGCCGAACTGGGCGCGGCGCCGCCATGCGGACGCACCCTCTGGGGCCCTCGGTGGAGCTCCCCCTGTGGGGCAGGAAACGTGTGAGGGGTGTGCCGAACTGGGCGCGGCGCCAGGAAACGTGTGAGGGGTGTGCCGAACTGGGCGCGGTGCCGCCATGCGGACGCACCCTCCGGGCCCTCGGTGGAGCTCCCTGTGGGGCAGGAAACGTGTGAGGGGTGTGCCGAACTGGGCGCGGCGCCAGGAAACGTGTGAGGGGTGTGCCGAACTGGGCGCGGCGCCGCCATGCGGACGCACGCACCGGGGCCTCGGTGGAGCTCCCTGTGGGGCAGGAAACGTGTGAGGGGTGTGCCGAACTGGGCGCGGCGCCAGGAAACGTGTGAGGGGTGTGCCGAACTGGGCGCGGCGCCGCCATGCGGACGCACCCACCGGGGCCCTCGGTGGAGCTCCCTGGGAGGCAGGAAAGGTGTGAGGGGTGTGCCGAACTGGGCGCGGCGCCGCCATGCGAACGCACCCGCTGTGGCCCTCGGTGGCGCTCCCTCGGGGCCACGAAAATGAGGACCCAACACTCAGGAAGAGTGGGAAAACGAGGACCCAACGCAGGCAGGTTGGGGATGAGGAGGAGGAGGAGGAGGAGGAGGAGGAGGAGGAGGAGGAGGAGGAGGAGGAGAAGGGGGAGGAGGAGAAGAGGAGCTTGAGGAGTGAGGACGCGGGGCGCTTGGGAAAAAGAGGAGAGATAACGAGAGACGAGCACTACACACCTGTATATGGATCATGCATATATGTATATGTGCGTGGAGAGAGAGAGAGAGAGAGAGAGAGAGAGAGAGAGAGAGCGAGAGAGAGAGAAGGATACAGGGACACAGGTATCATTGTAATGTGCTGCAGTGGGTCACACATGTATATGCATGCACCTCTAGATTTAAGAGAGCGTGGGGAAGAGGGAGAGAGAGAGAGAGAGGGAGAGCAATGTGAGTCCAAAACGAATGAGGCACCGAACAGAGAGAGAGAGAGAATGTATCCTTTTCCTCTCGAGAGGGACAGCATGTACAGATATCTGAGGGCGCCCTGAAATCAAAGGTTATGTACGTAGTGCGCACACGATAAAAAGGGCAATCCATGTTTCTAACTCTCTCGAGGAGAAACCGAACCCCAAAAGTGCACAAAAGATGCCCAATAATGGCACGAAAACAAACCAGCTTCATACATTTAAACTTCCGGAGGTCCGCGCAGATTTCTTTGGTCGACGCTAGACCTCCCCACTTGGCGCGAGTAGCAACACCCTAGCGACAAGGGTCATGCAATCAAGCCACTGTCGTTAACCGTGTTTCCTCTACAAACAAGCTCATTCGTCACCCGCATCGTGTTGCAGAAGAGGAGGGAGAGAAGGAAGAGCAGCGGCAGCAGAGAGGACGCGAGGAGCCTCCAAGACCATCGGGCCGTGGGATGCCCTCAGCGTCACTGCCGCTAGCGGTTCGGATGCTTGGGTCCTGATGCAGAACGCCATCCTTGTCCTCCTCCTCCTCCTCCTCCTCCTCCTCGTCCTCCTCCTATTCCTCTATCTCCTCTATCTCCTCCTTCTCCTCTCCCTGCTCCTATCCGTCGTCGTCCGCTTCGTCTTCCTCCTCCTCCTCATCCTCCGCTTCCTCCTGTTCATCCGTCCCTGCCTCCTCTGCCTCCTCTGGCTCCTCCCCTGTTTCCACGAGCAGCGCTTGCACTTAGCACTTAGAGGATTCTGCCTCGGTTACCTGAGGCACTGGACGGGTGTGCCAAAGTTTCGCCCGGTGGAGTATTGGTGGGCGCCCGTTCGGGTGTTGCTAGAAGTGCCCCTGGCCCAAGGTACCCCCAGCTTGTCGCTCCATTTCGGAGCACCCGGGGCCCTCTGGGCCTCGTGAGGGGTGCTCTGAAGGCTGTGGAGGCCTCCTCGGAAATCCTGGGGGCACCTTGGGCCAGGGGCATTTCTGGCAACACCCGACCCGTGGGCGCCTCATGGGCGTCTCGTCTTGGCTGGGCGTGCAGCGTGCTTGCAGTGCGAGCCACGATTCCAGAAATGTCAGCCCGTGCCGCCCCTGCCCGTGCCTGTCCGCTCTCGCCCAGCGCGGCGCGCAGCCGCTGCAGCGCTCCCCGGAGGAGCTGACGGCTGAGAGGATGTGGTCCTGAGCCTTGAGCCCAAATGGCTACGATGGGGCCCGAGCAGGCGGAGCCATCAGATCGCGCCGCATCGCCTCTGCATCGCCGATGCATCGGTCGATGCATCGGCGAGGCCCGCGATGCGTCGGCGCCGTCGTGGGCGTCCCGCCCTGGCTGGGCGTGCGGCGTCTGCGCCCCGTCGCCGACCGCGGGCGCCCCGCGGCCGCCTCCAGGGGGCCCGCCCGTGGCCGCCGCGCGGGCGCCTCGTGCACACCTCGACCCCTCGGGCACACCTCGACCCCGGCTCGCCGCGCGGGCGCCTCGCTCCTCGACCCCCGCGCCTCGCTCCTCGACCGTCGAGCCGGGCCTCGCCTCGAGCGCGGACGCTCGCCCCCTGGGTTGAGCAGGGACCGACCGTCCCGGCATTCCTATAGTCATACCACGAAGTGTTCCTGTGGGCGCCTCGTGGGCGCCTCGCGCGCTGGGCGGCCGCATAGGCCTGCAGCACGGCGTACGTCACCCGTGCTGCACCACACAGCTCGTGATGCGGCGGGGCAGCTGCCGTCTTGTCACGGCAGTCGCCGCGCAGCCTGGACGCTGCAGTCCCCAGACGGTGCTTGCACTTAGGGGTTCATGCTTGTCTCAACCATTTGGGGACCCGTCCCGGCTTGTCCGTGCGGTGCCGCCCGTCGCCGCCCCGTCGCCGCCCGTCGCCTGGGCCCCAGTCCCAGCTTTTCCTGGCAGTGCCGCCCCTCGCCGCCTCGTTGCCGCCTCGTTGCCGTACTGCATAGGTTGCTCCGCGTAAATTGCACCGCGTAGAGCGCACCACATAGATTGCACCGCATACATTGCATTGCATAGATTGCATCGCATAGATTGCATCGCATACATTGCACCACATAAATTGCTCCGACTAGACTGCAATAACCTACTGTTTGGGGTCCACGTCGGCTAACATTCGTAAGTTACACCACACAACCTACACCACGCACCCGACACCCTGTATATATGGGTATATAGTTAGCACCGCATTGCTTACACAGCGTAGCTTGCAGTACGCAGTGTGCACCACACAGCTTACACCGCATACCATGCACCACATAGCTTGCGCCACAGAACTTGCACCACATAGCTTGCACCCCATAGCTTGCACCACATAGCTTGCACCACATAGCTTGACCCACATCTTTTACGCATCCACTGTGCAGTAAGATACTGTTCGAGATCCGCGCTGGCAAGCAGTCTTCCTCATACTCGAGGAATCGCACTTGTCCTTCCCAGGCTTGTCCTGCACCAACTCCGCCGCCTCATCGTCTTCCTCTTCATCCTTACCTCTTCCTCGTCACCCTACTCCCCCTCCTCCTCGTGGTCCGCTTCCTCCTCCTCCTCCTCCTTCTCCCTTTCTCCTCCTTCTCCTCCTCATCATCGTCGTCCTCCACCTCACCTTCATCGTCCTCGTCTTCCTCCCGTGGCCTACGTGGGGGCTGCGCGGCGATTGGTGTGGTTGCTTCCCTGGGGGCTCTTCTCCCCCTGCAGGAGCTGTTGCCGTCCTGCGGAAGGCTTGCCATCTTCGGTCTTTCGGGGACCTGGCTATACCAACCGAGAAAGCACCCGTCCCAAGATCGGCTGCGGATCGGTGCTCCAGTCTGCGCTGGCCCTGTCCGCTGTCGTGGCTCTCCCGAGCATCCCATCGGAGCAAGGCTGCGGACGTGGTGGTCGTCATGCCCCAAAGGTTGTGGATGCCATAACAATGCACACTCGAACAATCCGATCATTGAATCAAAGATGTGTTTAACGTGTGCAAAACATGTTCTAAACACGTGTCAAACATGTTTTTACACAGTTAAACCATGTTTGAAACATTTGTTGGACATCTGGGAATTATTTGGCAGCATGCTTCCTCTCCACGAATCGGCTTGGGTGGCCCTGCCTGGCCCAGAGGGCCTGAGGGGGGCAGGCTGGGCACCCGTGGCTGCCGTGCGTCTGCGCCCCGCCGAGTCCTCGGCCTGGCAGGGAGGCGGAGGGCAGGGGCCGACGCGGCCCGCAGAGCGGCATGTCGTGATCTGAGGTCCAGGAGGGTCTCTTTATTCTTGTGGACTGACCCCAAAGTACTGTTTCGTGGATTATTGAATTATAGATTTAGCCTCACGGTTTTGGTGCATGACACACCTCCTCCCCCAGATGCATCCACACACCAGATTTGGTGTATCCGTTCGGTTTGGTCCGGGATGTACGCGGCGTGAGCGCTGCTCGCCATCCGCACTCTCTCGCATGAGGGTATGCCAGCAGTGGTACGCAAGCGCACGGCCTCATGTCGCCGTAGAGGCCGAGGTCCTCCTCCTCATCATCTACCCTACCTTTGCCTCAGTCTCTTCCTCATAATCGTACTCCTCCGCATCCTTATCGTCCTCGTCTTCCCCTGTCTCATCCTCACAGCCCTTCTCATATTGTTAATCCTCTTCTTTCTGCCCCACCTCCAGTCATCATTACAGTTATCCTTCTCCTCCTCCTCATCCTCCTCCCGTTCCCAGGCCTCCGCCCTCTCTGGTTCATGCTTAGTGTGATTATCCTCCTCCTCCTCCTCTTCCTCCTGTCCATCTCTTTATGCCTTCCTCTTCCACGAAGATGCCTCTGTATTTGTTCTGCTCTTCCTCCTTCTCCTCCTCCGCCCCCTCCTCCTGCTCCTTCGCCTCTTCCTCCTCCTCCTCCTCCTCCTTCTCCTTCTCCTCCTCGTCCTCTTCCTATTATCCCTCGTCTTCTGTTTCATGTTACTTCCCCCTTCCAATGATGGGACAGAAACAAGGGTTATAAGAGGTTCCAGCTCAGTTCGCTGTCAAATCGGTACCTACACCACCCCTGTGCTAGACACTTGCGCAGGCTCATGCAGGCTGCGAAGCAGGCCGTGCAGCGAGAACGAACATCGAGGGGAGGGACGGACGGAGGGAGGACTCAGGAATGGGGGAGGAGGGGGGAATGAGGCAGAGGAGGAGCAGGGCACGTGTTTTTCTTTCATGCATTAATTGCAACCGCCGATAAGGTTGCTCGCGTGGGGCTGCAAGCTCACCCATCTTGACCAGGGTCTGGACTACACGCCTTACGTTCGGCGTCCTGGGTGGACCTTCCCATTTCAGGACCACGTCGAGCCTCGACGTTACGGCGCACACCACCTTGCGAGCGATCTTCCTGATCCTGGGCGCGACCAGGATGTTTACTCCACCCCCCTTCTGGCTGTACGTTTTCGGTGCACGTCATCACAGATGCACACCAATCAAGGTATTCGCGCTGTCGCAATGGTCGACCACGTTGCCCTTGATTGACGTCGTCCACCACGCTCGAGCCCGCCCGTTGATGACTGCGGCCAGCGCGATCCTCCCGATCCAGATCGAGCTCCTGCCCCGCCGCCCCCGTGCCGACCGAGTGCGGGTGCCCCTCGGACGGGGAGCACCGCCGCCGACAAATGCACAAAACAGAAACCTGGCACGCCTCCGCCTGGCCCGCCGCCGGCTGGGCGGGACGAGGGGAGGAGGAAGGCCAGGGGGGGGGGGCGGCACAGAGGAGGTCGCGGGGGTGGACGCGGAGCCTGCGCTCTTGCCGATCGAGCTCTCTGCCCCGCGGCTGCCTCGGGGGGGGGGGCCGGCCGCGGCCCCTTGCCGCCGCGACGGCCACTCGGCCGCGGCTGGCGCGCCCGCCCCCGTGCCTCCCGCGGCGCGCAGGCGGGCCCCCGCGCGGCGCGGCGTCCGGGATCCCGGGGCTGGGCCGGCGCGGTCTGGGCCGGCCGCGGGGCCCCCGCCGCCGCGACGGCCGCGCGGCCGCGGCTGAGGCGTCCGCCTCCGCGCCTTCCGCGGCGAGGCGGGGCCCCATCCGCCCCTGAGCCACGATCGTTCAAGGCCCTGGGCTGCTTGTCAGGCAGCCCTCAAGCAGCCCAGGGCGTGCTGTCCCGGAGGTCAGCGCGCAGACTGAGACCGCACAGCTGGCGCGATGGCCACGTTCGTCAAGGCGTGGGCCGACACGTGAACGCTTTCTGGTTCGGCGTTTCGACATTGGGGCGGAAAGGGGTGGTGGTGAGGGGGGGGTCTGGCGCCGGACCTCTGCTTAATGCGACTGTTTACAACAATGCGCTGGCAGCCCCCACCTGCTCGAACCAGGCGCCCGAAACAGCCAAGATCTACTGCACGGGGGGGAAAGGGGGGTGCGAGGGCCCGCGCCGAGCGGCAAAACAATGAATAAGAAAACGATCGCCGCGTTGAGCCTCGCCATGGAAAGTGCGCACGGACGTGCTCGCGGAGCTTTGCCAGCGGGGTTTCGTTTTGGCGGCGGCGGCAGGACGATCGCACCGCAGTCCGAGCGGCACCCGTGCCACGGAGGCCTGATGAGGCACAAGGAGACCGGCGGAGGAAGGAAGAGAGGCGGCCGCGAAGCACACTTCGAACGTGTAGCTTTTCGGGTGCAGGGCTGCAGCCTCAGGCTCCTGAGGGGCTGAGGGAGTCGTGCGGAGCAGGCCGCCGTGTTATAGGTGTACTGCTGCATGGGCATGCAAGCCGTGCGGGTGGCCGCAGGGGCGCCAGGTCCGCGACTGATGCTCCCATGCTGGTGGGGCAAGCTTGGGGCCACTGGCTGCCTCGAGCACTTCGTTTCTACGAGACACCGCCGTGCGCAAGAGTACTTCCAAACATCGTGGCCAGTGCGCACTATGCATGCTGCATGCCGCCAGCTGTTCCGAAGCTCACGCAGGTTTCTGGTGGTCTCGGCATTGGCTTAGCGGCACGGAGCTGCTCGTACGCCGGGCTCCGCTCTGCTCGAGCTCCCCACGGGCATGCAGTCACAGCCCATGATCCTGGATCGTCGGCGTGAGCGAGCGTCTCCATCACATTAGTCCTTTCCATCGCCGTCGAAACACTCGAGTAGAAGCATTGACCATCTCAAGCCATCTCCTCCCCTCAGTGTTCCACTGGTCTCCAATCAAGAAGGGCCAAGCTAATACTATCGCCCCACAGCAACTTAAGCCACGGATTCGCTTCGTGCTTCGGGGTGCTTCTTGGAGTCGGCTCCCTCGGCCCCGTCCAGAAGCTCCCTGTGAACGCTGCCAGGACGAGGTCGTGCGAAGGTACGACTGGGCCGCAAAAGCTGTCGATGCCCAAGGTACGACTGAGCCACCTCAACTGAGCAGGAGCAGGAGCAGGACATGGGGGAATAAGCAGCCGCACAAGGAACATCTGTTGCAGCACCGCCGCAGCACGAGCAGAGGAGGAGGGGAGGGGGAGGGGGACAAAGACGAGGCGGGAGGGAGGAGGAGATGAGCAGGAGGGGGAGGAAGAGGAATGACGAGGGAGGCGGCGGAGGGAGGACACGGAGGGCGGAGGAGGGGGAGAGGGATGATCGAGAAGGCCAGGGCACAGGGGAGGTCTCGCTCTCGCTGGCTCAAGCCTCCCGCGCCGCACGCCCCGGCGCCCCGACGCCCAGGCCGTCCTGACCGCGGGCAGCTCCACCTCCTCCTCCTCCTCCTCCCACGGCGACGGCTGCTCTGGCAGGCCAGGCCCGGTCAGGGAGGCCTGGCGGTGGGCGCCGCGTCGCGGGAGGGGGGGGGGAGGGAGGAGGGCAGGGGGAAGAGGGAGGAGCGGAGGAAGGAGAGGTGGGAGGGCGGGCGGGGGGCGGGGGGAGGGGTTGGTAGGAGGGGCGACGGGAGACGGGAGGGGAGGAGAGGTGGGAGAGTGGGCGGGGTGGTGGTGGGTGGGGTGGAGGGGGGGGAGGGGTAGGAGGGGCAGCTGGCGGAGAGGAGGAGAGAGGGGCGGGGAAGCGGAAAAGAGGGTGGTGGGCTGGGGGGGTGCGGCGGAGAGGCGTGATGACAGGAGAGCGGGGGGATGCGGTGGAGAGGGAAGGGGCACAGGACAGAAGGCCGCGGGACGGGGGATCGGGAGTGGGGGAAACAGGACAGGAGAGCGGGGGAGGGGAATGGGAAAAGGGGAGTGGGAGAGGGGAATCAATCCGCCTACTTCTCCTTCGCTTCCCCCTCCGCCTCCATCACAATTCCCCCGGCCCCTGCCCCATGTCCATTTTCCCCCCTCCTACTCATTATTAGCATTGTCATCCTTATGGCTATAAGTGTTATCATCGCTTTCTTTCGTGCAGAACCAATTCATACAATGCATGACCACACCTATGTACATATAGACACACGCGCACACATACAAATGTATGTGTACAACTGTATGTTGTACCCTGGATGTGTATACAAATATAGATACACACATGCATGTGTGTGGACGTGCCGATGTAGCCGTATACATGTATGTATCCATATGTGTGAATGTATGTTTTCACATGGATGGGCGCATTCATACAACACGGACTGTCCCCAAACAACGCTCGCGCTGGCGGTCTGGCGGTTCCGTCCTCGCCGTCGCCGCCCCGTCACCGCCCCGTTGCCGCCCATCGTCTGGCCCTTGCTGGGGTTCTGGCGGTTCCGTGCTCCCCGTCGCCGCCTAGATTCTCCTGCCCTAAAGGGAAATTAGGATCTCACCCCCCACACACACGACTTATCGGCCCCCTTTGGGATGTGCGGTTCACGTACGATTCTGTCCCATCGTCCATCCTTGCTATGATGTCGTATCATCCTAGGCAGGCTGGTATCCCCCCTCATGCTCTGCAAAACAACCTCAACCATCAAGAATCATCAGTGTTCAAGAAACCCTTGCAACAAATGGGACGAAGTGCGCACGCGCACGTAGTTGTGCGCATGCCGAAATCCTTCATAACCCGTCGGTGTCGCAGGGATCTCAAAATCGAATGTCATGAGATACGCATACATATATAGATAGATAGATAGATAGATAGATAGATCGATAGATCGCCCCCATGTGATCATACCATTTGCTTTGGCTTCGACGGCTTCCACTTTTCCATTCGTCCGTCCTCCCCCTCATCTGCTCCCCGCTCTCCGTCGCTCCTCCTCATCCTCTAGTCCTCTTTCAGCGGGGCAATGCAATCTCGGGCTGAGGGCGGCGGGGCAGCGCAAGGCATCTTATTGTTCTCTCGCGTTGAATCCCAGCCCCTCTCTACCCTCAGGGAGGGGATGGTGAGGAGGAGGAGGGGGAGGAGAAGGAATAACTATATAATGTGAGCGCTGAGGAAAAAGGGCTAGATAAGACGAGTGCGATCCCAACGATGATGACGATGATGCTGACGATGATGGTGATCATGACGATGACGATCTGGAGGAGGAGGAGGAGGAAGAATCCTTAATAAGGCATCCTCAATAAGGAATCGGTAATACGGAATCGTGGATCAGAGATCCTTAGTACGGAACCTTTGCACAAGGAGTCCTGCATGAGGAATCTTAACTAAGGAACCCTTACTAAAGAATATGTGCCAAGGAATCCCTATTGAGGACGGTCTACGAAGGAATCCTTCGTAAAGAATATGTACCGAGGAACCCTTAATAAGGAGCCATAATTGGGAAATCCGTAATAAGGAATCTTACATAAGGAGCCCTTAGTAAAGAACCTTGAACTGAGGAGCCCTGCAAGAGGAATCTTGAATAATGATCCCATAATAATGAATCTTAGGTAAGGAATATGCCATAGGGAGCCGCTGAAGTATCCTTTCATAAAGAATCCGGGTTACGGAACTATGACTCAATTACTCAGGTACATGTACCAAAGAATCGTCACAAAAGTATCTTTACTACGGTACTAAGGGACCCTCAACAAGGAACCGTTCAGACGGAGTCCTTACTAAGGAATCCCGAAAAATATGAAACAAAAAGAACCCGGAATAAAATGCATGCACTAAAGAATCCGTCATCAGGAATCCTGAAGAAGGAAGCTTGACTTGGGATTCCTTAATAAGGGATACGTACTAAGGTATCCGTACGAAGGGATAGTTTAAAAAGGAGCCCTTGAAATAAGGAATCTGAATGAAGAAATCCTTAACTAGGAACACTTAATGCGGACTCCTTCATAAAGAATCAAAGCGAAGGAATCCTGAATAAGGGAGCCTTTAATAAGGAATCCTTTTGTACGAAATACTGAATAAAGAATCCTTCACCAAGAATCGTAATTTAGGCATCCTTAACCAAAACTCCGGAATCCTTCATGCGAAAGGAATTTAAGTTAAGGAGCCCTACAAGAGGATACCCGCATAGGGGATAATTGTACAGGAATATGGACTAAGGAATCCTTCGCAAAGAATCTCTACTTAAATAATATTAGTAAGGGATCCGATCTAAGGAACCTGTGATAGAGAGTCGCTGGGGCATCCTTAATGAGGAATCTAAGCTGAGGAACCCTTACTAAGGAATCTGCATTCAGGAATCCTTCCTAAAGAATATGCATTCGGGAATCCGAGCGTTTACCAATCAATCCATCAAAAGGAATATGAACGCAGGAATCCTTAATGGCCAGGCGTCCTCACCCTCGGTTCAAGAAAACGCTGTATGTTTGCTGTTGTTTGATTGTGTGGTTTGGGATGCAAGGATTTTTGTGGGGGAACAAACAACATTTGGCAGGCTCAGAGAGAAGTGCTGCGAGGGTGGCCGCGGCGAGCATTGGGGCCGGCATAACAAAAGAAATGTTTCGTGGCCTCACACACAAAAACATACATTGCTTGTTTACACCAAGGGCGTCAACTACGGTGTATGTTTTATGGTTTGGGTTGTTTTGGTTTGGGATGCATGGTTTGTTTTGTTTGCTTTCCTTTTGACTTTGCAGGCTCAAAGAGAAGCGTTGCGAAGGAGGCCGCGGCGAGACCAAAAAACCCAAACAAACCAAACATCATACACAGCGTTTCCTTGCACCAGTGGCGCCAACTGCTGTGTGTGCTTGTTCGGGCTTGCCACGCTCAAGAAGAAATGCTGCGAGGGAGGCCGCGGCGAGCACCAGGGCCTGCAAAATCAAAAAACACCGTGCTTCGTGGTTTGTCAAACCAACCAAAACAAAACAACAACAACAAATAAGCAGTGCTTCCTTGCACTGACAGCGCCAAGCGCTGTCTGGTATGGGTTTTGTATGGTTGCACAGAGAAGATGATGATGATGATGATGAGGAGGAGGCGGAGGAGGAGGAGGCGGAGGAGGAGGAGGAGGATCAGGAGGAGGAGGAGGAGGAGGAACATGAAGAGAAAGAAGAGAGCGGAAGACGCAGAACAGCAGAGAGTGGTATGATCACATGGAGGTGGGCGACCCCATATAGAAATACACTATATAATAATATTATACTACATTATATTTATATAATACCTATATTATATATATAACATACGTACATGTACAGGGCGAGCCATCGGCGGGACGCTATTCTCGGGAATGTATCAAATTTCTGGAATTTCCAAGATTTCTGGGATTGCTGGAATTTTCGGATTGTTTGAATTTTCAGAATTTCCAGAATTTCCAGGAATGTCTAACATTCTTGAATATCCAGGAATTTCTGCAATTTCTGAACCATCTGAAATTTCCGACTGAAGACGCCACGTTCCCAGAAGTCCAGACAGTCCAGACATTCCATGAATTTCAGACATTCCAGACATTCCCAACATTCCAGCAACAACAAAGCAAGAAATTCCAGAAACTCCATAAGGGGCCAAGAGATCCCCAGGAGCCAATAGTCTTCGAACGATTGTTCCGAAACGCCCAGGATGGCCCCAAAACGCCCGAGAAATTAACAAGACGCTTCAAGAGGTTGCCGAACACATTCCCAAGAGGGCCCGACAAGGCAACATTCGCTGCACGCCTGTAAGCAATTGTGAGATGGTCGCCGTTCTGCGTCGTCAGCTTCCCGACGCTGCAAGACGGCTTGAGAGGCCTCAAAGAGATAACTCCTGGGCGGCTTCAGAAGCCCCAAGAAAGCTCGAAGATGGCCCAGTAGGGCCCCAGGGCGGCGCCAAGAGGGTCCCACTGCGGCTCGCGACTCCGCCCCTCGCCCCAATCTGGCACTCGAACTGCCTCCGGAAAGGTCCGGGGGCGCTCGGCCGCCTCGCCGACCTCTCCCGGCAAGCTCTCGCGAGGGGCGCGCCGCCGGGATCTGGCGGCGCGACCGCGAGCCCGCGCGCGCGAGCCAGCGGGCGGATCGAATTCGAGGTGGCCAGAAGAGAGAGCGCGAACGGAGGCAGAGAGCCGAAAAGGCCCAATCGCCCATCCGAGGGGAAGGAGATCTAGGGATGAAAGGCCACGTCCCACGATGCTGCCCAGCCCCGAATCTCGAGGAATCCAGCGCCCCAATGCCCAGGCCGATAGGGCAGCGGCAAAGTGAAGGAAGAGTGAGAAAGAGAAAGGGTGCGCGCGCGTAGACGGGGGCCGAAGAACAGCGGAGCGAGCTGGGATGCAACAGCGGCCCGCGCCAAATCGAATTAGATGCGCGCGCGCAGTCTTTTGCCAGGGGCCCTGTGGCCCCTGGCTAGAGCCGATCTCTCGCCGGGAACCCAGCTGCAAAGTGCGCGCGGGCGAAGCGAGGTAGAGCGCGGATGATGCGCTGCGGAGCGATGGGGGGGGGGGGGGGGGGGGCGGGGGGGGGGGCCGGGGGGGGCTGGCCGGCCAGGCGGGGCGCGCGCCCTCTGTTAT